CTAATTGTCAAGCATGGTATCCATAAATTCGAAATTAAAGGAGCACATACAAGGTACATCTGTACCTGTCCAGAATCTCTTAGATATGAAATTGGCATTTTTCACAGCCAAAAACGAACAGGAACACGGTCATTCTGCTCTCTGTTCATCCGCCATCCGCCATCCGCCCGGTAGTTCATTGTGCAAAAAGTTTTCATCTGTTTGTTGCCCTTCTTTCAGCGTAAATTGAGCCCGCTAGGTTTGATTTTATGTCCAAAAGGGCGGTACTGTTTCAGGCCCGTAACGTCACTTAATTTGTGAGAGGTTCGTTCAGTGGAAAGTGGACCCTTTGGAAACCATACAATAACGTACCGGTAATATTGTTAGCTGGGAAAGCTATAAGAAATTCCGACTTGAAATACTTTTGGATTGTATGAGAACACTGTAAATATATCTACGAATATCAACTTTTCGTTTTTAAATGCGGACCTTCTCCAGTTTTTGGGCGGTTCGTCGTAACCCCACACGCTACGGGCCTGTGTTTCGGTAACATGAAATGTCGATAAATTATTGCCTACTTTGACAATCGTTTAGTTCGCTGCACTTTTACCGACTCTTTAGGCATAGGCCTATGTACCTCCGCCAAGGAGGTTATGTATTCACTGCAGCTGTCTGTCGTGGTGTCTTTCTGTCTGTCTGCTTATCAAGATTGCACAAAAACTAATGAATGGATCATCATAAAATTTAGTGGAATGGTACATAATAATAACCTTTTAATGTTTGGAAGAAAAGGTCAATTTTGAATTTGAATTTAATACGGTGGGCGATTCCATTATTTTCGTGAGGGTAGGCTATGGCACCCAAGAACCTCCATGGCCTCAGGAATACAACGGGTGAGTCCATTATTTTATTGAGTGTATGCTGCAGTTTTGCCCATCATCACATCCTGCGTGTTGTTGGTAGGCCTAATGTATTCAGGTACAGGGCGGATGTATAGACTCTATGGTGTGATTGCTCAGTTTCTAATGTTTCAGTCTCGGAGGCTTGTGGCCAAACCAATGGCAATCAGACATTCATATTGTTCATTTCACGGGGATACAGGAAGAGATCAAGTTGACGGTTGTGTATTTTATTGCAAAACATTCAGGTCTATCCGCTGTATAATCAAGTATTTTAGTTTAAAAAATCAAAAGAAATAAATAATCCCAAGCCAGTACCCAAACTGCAATATTGCACGATTATTTTTTTTCGCAGGATGTTCATGCTTTTGAGACGGTTGCTCTAACTGTTCCAAGTCGGGGTAGCACTATACCGTATGTTCTGTAAAATGTATTACCTAACACTTTTGGTATAAGGTGATGTCGCGTTAGTCTACGCTTATTGTGAGTTACGGTCAGTCTGGTTGTGTAAGGTGGGGCTTATTTCTAACTATCAAACTATTCCCATAACGGACGCGCTATGTTTACATTATTACTTTCGCAGACACGCAATAATCAAAAGCAATTTAGAATATGACTATATTCATGTCGTATTTCACGCGATAGTGAGGCATATCAATGCGTTCAATCACAGATCATTGTATATACGATATCTGTGATTCAACAAACTTATTTAATTCTATCGTATGAATTTTAGTGCGCTGCAATCTCATTCCGATCGTTTACTTTCCCGTGGGACCGTCATCGCTAGACATTATTTCCGATTTTAATGGGTAGTATTTAATAAGTAACTTAAACATATCACCGCTTATTTTTCTACCCAGATGCACGACTATTAATAGACAAAGTCTCGATGAAACTACTGCTATATAATCAAGCTATGACACCGACAGTGAAAACGAGATACATTTCAACCGTAACGGTACACAAAATGTGCCGCCCCAAGCAGGCCAGTTGTCGCGCACACCTTTTATTACGCACTCACTGTGTGCTTTATTGGTGTCAGTAGAGTGTCTCATTACGAAAGTCATCCTGCTTAAACCACAAGTTTATTGATATATAATTTGAGGACTGATTTAGTGTACTGAGTTACTTTTAAAATTACGAATCTCGTGCGCTTTCGTTACGTATACGCTCTAAACTAAATTTTCGATGACGTGCCAGGTGCATCGCTGTCATCTAAAGCTTTGTAACAGGCCATTGTAATGCATAAGATTAGGACGATTCTTTTTATTATTACTATCCTTGTATTCGTATAAAATAATATCGAATGGCCCAGGTAGGCGAAGAAGTAATTGTAGACCTAGGCCTAGATGAAGAAGATATTGAACCTCGGATAGTGTAGAAAAAATGATAAAATGCATACTGCCCTGGCTCTTATTGATACATGTGTCTCTTTATTTCAAGGAGGAATATGGAAAACGACAATTCTTCTTCTCATAAGTCTGTTTTTAACGATACTTGGTTGCAGTATGGCAACATATGGACTGACAGATAGTTTCTCTTCAAGTCGTCGGCATTGGGTTTTCATAGCTGGGAAGACGTTTATCTTATCAGGTAGCCGTTCATGGCAATACTTGGTGTATCATTTCTAATGTTTACAAAACTAACTCAACTATGTAAAAAGATCACTGCATTTATATATCCGAGTTATAATCAAAACACTTTAATCTAAAGTGATCTGGATTTGGAAAACGGATGAATTATGTGAAAGGTGGGGTGAACAGTTTTGGAATGGGCCTATTTTTGGATGAAAATGTTTGTTTTGGCAAAACCCGGAGAAGCATCTTCAGTTTCCCTCCCAGATTGGATCATTACTACACGGAATATTATGTGGGTGTTCAATATACGTACGCTATACGTAACCATGTGCACGTGTAATAATACTAATATTCATTTTGGCCCCATTGTTGTCTTTCAGGTTTATTCATTATGCTGGGTTTACTGCTGTTTTTCTTTTGTATTGATCAAGTGATGATGGAGAAGATGCCGCGATCCAACAAGAAGGTGTTCACTTATGGATTCTCCGTGTCGTTCGCAGTTGTTTCTTGCGCACTACCAGCTGGCGAGATCTCAGGAGTATCCGCTGTGTACCTTTACACAAACTCGACTGTATCGTCACAACCGTCACGAACTAGACCTCCACGACCAATCAGAAGCCTAACTGCTCACGCTGCGTTAACGCCTAGGCCTTCGATTGAACCGCCAGTTTTAACGATAACCGGAGTCAGTCGATATAACGAATAAGCAATAATTGCGTTCCCTTTTAGATGTTGCATCATCAATGATTCATAATTTATAAAACTTATAATGGTATGTCACTGAGATAATAAAAAGATTAACACGCGTCGTTACACAGGTAATATTGCACGTACGTGTGGAATCGAAGTACGGTAGTTGTGTGTAAGTTTACCGTCTGCGAACAATCATTCGGTGATGCAACCGCCAAGAATATCATGAAGTTCATTATTTTATTGGTTGAATTTTTATCTGTAATTTTCCCAAGTCGCCTTTCACAATCTCCACGTAGGCATACATGACTTATGCCGACATCAGTTCGGCGCCGTATCCTTTCTCTCATTATAAAACTTAATAAAGTAGCAATTATTATCTCAAAGTTTTTATATTTGAACACTAAAGTTTACGAATTAATTTCCATTTTGTTATTATTGTATCAGTGTATTGCTATTTCGTAAATTTGTGTAACGTAGGCCTATATATCTAGGATATAGACATTACGCCTGTATAGTTAATTTAGCTGAATAGTACAGTCTGCTGTATAATAATAGGCCTAAATAGTTTGCAATAAAACTTGAACAAAACAAACAATATCAACTACAACGTGAACAAAGTGTTTCGTTTTACTGATATCGTTAGATTAATGCAGGAGTTGCAGTTGTACCAAAATATTGGTCTATTTAGCTCTAATGACAGGCCAATGTGTTCACGTAAAACGAATGTATACAATGCTTCGTTCACACTAAAGTAAACCTTGGTTCATACTAGAGACATTTTGACGTACCGGAAGAAAACGCGAGCAAAGCTACGCGCCTGTTGCGTTACTCTTGCGTTTGCCCGAAATTTGCTCTAGCGTAAACTATGCGTCAACCAAGCTTTAAGCTCTGTCAATCAAGATATAACATTTTATTTGACCATGCAACTGTTGTATGCCCATATTTAGTCATGGTGTGCCTATATATGGTCATGATGTGATGTCATCATGAACATTTAGGCATGTCACATGATCTTGCCGATGGTCTGGACAGAGCTTTATGTTTCAGAGGCGTAATTTTATGAACGTCGATTGCCTTTGCGCCAACGCAATTTAATTTCTCTAGTGTAAACAATGCTTATGCCTAAAAAATAAATTGTTTGTTTGCCCTTCTTTTTTTAAAATGATTAAAAGGGGCGGGTGGAAAAAGTTGTTTTTTTTCCCTCTCTTTTTTTTTTAAAGATAGGCCTACTCATTAGATGGAATAAAAATAGCCCACAGAGGCCTAGAATGGCAATACCTTACATCAAACAACAATTTTAGACTAATTTGTAGGGCATCTGGCAAAAATTCACTCACATTTTTTTAATTTGTAGAGAAAAAAGCTTAAAAAAAAGCTATTTTTCAGTTAGTTAAGGGCGGGTGGAGGAGGGCAAACCATTTTTTTTTTGGTCTTATCATTTAATCATGCTGCAACGAAGCTAATTACATCGACATTTTAAAGGCAGAATTGCCAACCCAAAACACACAAGTGATGTAAACACACAGAACTGCCGATAGGCCTTAGTACACTTAACCACACTCGATCCCGTGCCTTAAAATCAGAAGAGAGCGATACATTCCTTTTATTCATTGATGATGTCACATAACCTGATTTACGATTTTGACTTGTTTTTGAGAATTGTAGAAGCTATAATAATCACAATTTGTCAATAAACTTTCTTATTGAATGCCAAGTATTATTCGATTTGATGAAAAAAGCTAATAATAATAATATCAATTTATGATAAACAAATAGTTGATTATTGTTTTTCGACAACAATAATGAAATTGAACATATTTTTGAGTATATTTGTGCGCGCGTCTGTAAGTAAATCAACGAATGTTCTTATCGCTTGGATGTTTTGCTCTACTCGCGAGTCCGCTAGAGTTGCATAATGTTAATACTTAATGCCTATAAGTGTGTAGATTAGATCATATCTGTGTTTTCATACGCCCACCTGGTAATGGATTGTAAATAAATGTATAGTTTGCTACGTTGATTACGCTGAATTATTTCTACTTTCTTATAATTGGTGTCTTCAGAATTTAAGCATTTCCCCGAAGAGGGGTGAACTAGAACATTGACCGCTTTTTATTGCTTTTTTTTTCATTGCTTATTATATTACAGCTATATATGTATAACCATACCGCTGAGATATGAAGTCTGGGGAAATAGCCATGGAATTGGAGCAAGGGGAAAACACGGTTTTTATTTACTACCGACATGCACAATAAGTCGAAAACATTCGCTTTACGGACGCTGGACAGGTAAATTTCAAAGACTAAGTTGTAAAACTTGTTCATTACAAGTACGTCGCAATCATAATCGCTATGAAAAGAGGATCGTACAGGCACATTTACACAAAATAGTAGGCATTAATGTGATTGAGTTACATATAGTTACAGTAGATCTGCAGACATATCAGCAGGAAATTTAAATCGTTGTTTGTTGGATAAATAAAGCCAGATTTGATGATATATACTGCAGGCCTGTAATAGCTCCTTTTTATAAATAAATTTAAAAGATTGAATCTAAGGGTTGTCTAGTCTGTACATTTTTACAAGAATCGTACTTTATGCTACCTGTAAGCTACAAAATTGTATTATTCGACTAGACGACTCGGGGAGAATGGTTTTTGAGGAGAGTGGTGTTTATTCGTTGGAGGCGTTTATATTTTTTCTGCTGAAAATGTATACGTATATGTACTTAAATAAATGCCTCTTAATTTTACTTTAGGTCTAAATGTGGAACTACAAACACAATTACCATCAAATGTGTAGACTTCTTCATCACAGGTCAGAACATATTGTAATTGTAGGGTATGTTAATAGAGTGTCTTGAGAATGATGTTGCTTTTATTAGTTTTGTTTAAAGTCATTTTGGGCTTTATTCCAGGGAGGCGATTATTCCAAATGACTATGGAGGTGGAGGATATGTCTGCGGTCCATGTACATGATCACTGCACAATACACACGCAGGATCTGAAACGCAACTGGCCCGTTACGTTTTACGTTAATGAAGGAAGCAATCCTTTTGCTATCCGGTATTGGGAAAAAAATTCAATCAGAAAAGAGCACGACAACAGCACGGGCCACAGCAAAGCATATTCTGTATGAAAATTGAGATGCGCACGCGTTTTACCAATCCTTCAAATTCAAGTTTTATTGCGCATAATGAGTCTCTGCTGGATCTTTTAAAACGTCTTGAAAAAAATGTACAGTATTAACATAGGCATAACATTGACATTGACATAGGCTTGCATTGATTTAAAACAGTATTGAACTCACAATTTGACTGTGATCATCATTCATAGGACAAAGATAATTTACTGTAGAAATAGAAACCTCTTTACCTTTTTATAGGCCTAATAGGGTGCATTCACATCGAATCCAAAAATTTGTAAAAAAAAGTTTTCTCTTTGCTTCAATAGCGCCCTCTATTGGTAATTGTTCATCATTTACGAAATGTTCGCGGAATGGCGGATTTCTTAAAAAAAGTCTTCCCTAATGTCGTCAAGATTGATAATTCAAATGATTTAAAATGTTCAGCTGCTCAGATTGATGATGCTAAAGAAGTATTTGGTATAAATAATGTTAATGCAAGTGACCGATGCCTTATAATAGGTGAAACAGAAAGGTGATTGACTCTACAAAGCCTAGGCCCTAGGCCTAGAGTAGACTAGTCTATAGGCTAGGCTAGGCGTAGACTAGCTAGGCCTATAGGCTAGGCCTCGTCCCTGCCCCTAGGCTAGGCTTAAGGTCCAGGCATGAGGCCAATGCCCTAGGCTACACCGCCAGGGCCTCTAGTAAGGCTAGGCTAGTCCTGGCCCAACCAAGCCTAGTCTAGCCTAACTAGGCCTAGTACTTTTAGTAGTATGTAGCTGCGTAGCATGAATTCGATCCAACTCGGCCACAAGTCAACTTGGCCACAAGTCAATTTTTATTACAGTACCATATAAATAAATAAATAATTTTCGATTTATTATTATTATTATTATTTATTAGTCTTAGTATTATTATTTTATAATAGTAATTAAAAAAGTTATTGTTATTGGTGTTTTATTGGTATTTTTCTCATATTATTAATAATGATGTTGTCACCTTTATTATCAATATTATTACCCTATTATTACTAAGTAGGCCTAGTATTATAAGTATCATTATTATAATTATTACTAATTAGTATTACTATTATTATAAAAATAAACATTATCTTTAATTTATTATTGTTGTATTATTGCTATTATCACCTTTAATATCGTTATTATCACTAATTAGTTATTAAAATTGATATTTAAATATCATTATTACCATACTAGTTATTATTACTATTAGTATTAGTATTGTTAAAATAAATATTACTATTAATGTTGTTGTTGTTATCACCTTTATTATCATCATAATGACTAAGTAGTATTATTAAAGTAAATATTACTAATTTATTGTCGTTATTGTTTAATATTATTGTTGAAGTAGAATGTTGTGAGTAAACAGAAGACGAACACATTAATAAATAACTCTTTTTAATTCATAGGCAATAGCATTCAAATCTCTTTTGGTAGTGTGGTGGTCCTGTTTTACTAAAATATACTGTGTACTTTATTTCAATCATATATTGAAGAAAAAGGATGCAAAAACTGAGATTAACATTAAATAACTTGTGGCCGAGTTGACTTGTGGCGGAGTTGGCTGTAGCCAAACTTTTTGTGGCCGAGTTGACTTGTGGCCGAGTTGACTTGTGGCCGAGTTGACCTGCACCCTGTAGCATGGCTGGGCCTGTAAATAGGTCTAGAGCCCTAGCTAGCTAGGGCCCTAGGCTAGGCCTACTCTACTATTTATATTAACTCGGTCCTACGAGATGGTACCCTAGGCCTATATCAAGGCTATAGGCCTAGGCCTATAGGGAAATTCGGCCTATAGTATGGTATGGGTAGAGTAGGCCTATGTATGCCAAGGTGTAATTAGGCTGACACTGTGTATTAATAAAAATGATTAAGTTTAATGCTCGATCCACATTACTCCTATCTAGGCTTGGCCTAGGCCCCATACTGTAAATTATTTTTAATTGTGCGGATGGTACCTCAAAATCTAGCTAAAATTTGCTTGGAAAATCTATATGGAAACCTATATAGAAACGGCCATCATGATTCACAGATATTTGTAAACTTGATACTACAGTACTAGGCTAAGCCTAGTGTAATTTATACACCAGGTGACTGGGGTATCATGGCAAGTCTACAACTCGGCATAGTAGGAATCACAGATGATCGGGCCCAAAGATGATTAGACTTTGGACGATCTGGCACATTTTCACAATGGTCGGGCCCAATTTCAAATGGCCCGATCGTCTGGAAATGTGCCAGATCATCTGATCATATTGTGTGCCCGATCATTTCATGAATGATTGATTAAAAAAAAAAAAATCATCCTATATATATCAAAATAATATTAAAATAAATGCATGATAATTTTAATTAAGATTCTTAAAATAATAAATTTAGAACACAATATTGAATCAGAATGAAAGTTGGCCTGATAGTCTCCACTAGGTGGACCCAATCATCTTGGCATTGGCCCGATCGTCCACACTAGCTGGGCCCTATCATCTGGAAATGGGCCAGATCGCCCTGAGCCCGACCATCTCGTGGGCCTGATTGTAGTAGGTTGTTTTTATTTTAGATATGTGACTATTCATATTCCATTGGTTATTATTCAATTTTATGTGTTTTCCTTCTATGTAGCGGCCAATCAGCATTGCTGTTCCAGTGCGCTCTAAGTTGCGCTTTGGAAGGGGCAAATGTTACATTTATCACACCAAACAAGTTAGAAACAATGCCACTTCTGATAGAGGGTGCCAGACAACCTGATCATGAAGTCATGAAACAAGTACATATAATGTAAGTTTTATTTAATTTATTTATTCAGCTTTAGGCACTTTAGAGCCAAGGATATGCCAAACAGTGAACTTAATCACTCTTCAAAGTGGTAATTCCATCATACAGGGCTGTATGGACCCGTACACCGGGATAACCTAATCATCTCAAAAGATGTACTGGGTACTTTAAAAGTGCACATGAGTCAGTTGTGTACACTGGGCCTACGGTTTATAGTCCTTATCTGAGAAGACTTGTTCCACCTTCGGAACCATAGGCGAACGTGCCGTTCGAACCAGCGCCGATATTATGGCTGTAGGTTGCGGCGTCCCTGCCTTACCCGCTCGGCCATTCGACTCGCCTTGTACATCATTATCATCATCATCAGTATCATGCCTCATCGTTGTTTTGGAAACTAGACGTAATTTGAATAAATTCAATTTATTGTCTTTCGCCTGGGTTTCAACAATAACCCGATATCCAGCCCAACACACCCCCATGTCTTCTGACGTGACCTTAAAAACATAACAAATGCTGCCCTCTATAGTTTAATAAATTTAACTTGCTATCTGGGTTCAATAACAATAGTTACTCATTCTTAACATCATTATCACTGTCAATGTACTCATGATATGTAGCGCCCTCTGTGATCGTTGTTTATAAACGAATACTGTAAAGTGTGGTTTATTATTTCTTCAAGGTATCTACATGATCGGCTGTCCTTGTTAAAATACCTGTCGTCCATTCATACTAATTCATCCTTGCCGCATGTTATCCTGGTTGACAAATTGGACTACTATTCAAACCAACCAAAGGTACATTAGGTTGATGCCAACTTGCTACATAAACAAGACCTACTATATTAACACAGGTATACCTTCTATCTAGAGTAATTTTCTTCATAATTTCAGATACAATTCTAAAGAATAATATAATGATTATGAAATAAATTGCAGTAAAATTAAATAAATTGAAGTGTTTGTAACTTAACAGCTCAACTCATGCTAAAAGTAAAGAATATTTGATGACATACAGAGTAGACTGGCCAATCATGTAAGAGGGCTCTCTTGCTTGACTAACAGAAAAATTTCTTCTGATACATTGCAACATCTCTAGAGAGACATTTTTTTGTTGTCCCTGGCCTGGGCTAGGCCAAGATAGAAAATTGAGTGCAGCTTTCATCCATTATTAATTATTATTAGAGTACAGCACATCCATTTTATGGTCCCTGGAGCCACTAATTTTTTTTCTTCAGAGGTGCTACTGAATTTATACCCACATCAGCTGTTTTGGTTGTTTAAAATTGACTTGGAATTAATGTTTTAACAAAATTTAAAATGTGTAATGATGCAGTATGTATTCTCTTGTAGCTTGTCATGATACAGTATGGCAGAGTGGTTTTTAAAGTAAATGTCTTCTTAAACTTTGTTTTGATACAGTATGGTGCAGTTGTTTTTAAAGTAGGCCTAATATGTTTTCTTAAACTTTTATATAATACAGTAGAGTAGCTGCTCCCTTAAAACTTCGTTATTATGATACATTATGTTTTTTGAGTAAATGCTCCCTTAAATTTATGATTCACTATGGTAGAGTGTTTATAAAAACATTCCTTAAAGTTTGTTATGATATGGTGAAGTGGTTTTTATAGTAAATGCTCCTGTGGTTGTTATGATATATAGTGCACATCAAGTGAGCCTTGACATTGTTTTAGGAACTTATCAACATTGACCTCTAGTAACCCTAATAAAACTATTGACATGAAATACAACATCATACCCCTGGAGTCATTTTGTTATTTTTAAAGACCAACAGCCAGGTTTGAATTGGACAATGCTCTTATTTCATTTACTTTTACAACATTTTATTATGGTCATGAAGCTACTGTATGTGTGATACTGACGAAAGACAGCACATTTTGTACACGCAAACCTAACACTTATCCAAATTTGTAAAATCTTCAAAATGGAATTGTTTGAAGGAAATGCATACTGGAGTGAACGAAAACATACAGACAAGTACTCTATAAAATTGAAGCGCCATTCTACTGTAGATATAAGCGGGTGGAGTAACTTTTTTACTTCAGTGCAAATTTTACAAAATGCGCATTCTTGGTTATATGTTTACATACTGAACTGAACCACACAAAGACCACTATTCTATATTATTGTATACTTGCGTGTATTCGGTACATGCATGTACTGCATCTCAGCCAATGATAATGCTATTAGTTCAGGGTGTTCGCTCTATCCATGCAATATAAATGCTGGCTCACAAAAAGGATGTAAATAAGGACTGTTCCTCTAAATCAATGTTTTTTGGCATCTTTGATCAGTGAGGTTTGATTGATGAGTGTGTTGACTATTTCTGTGCAATGAACTTGAAGTACACAGGGCAAACAATTGTTTTAAAATATACTGCACAATGAGGCTGAAACTGCTTAAAGAATAAGAACAAAATAAGACAAAATTGAGACTGAGTTAAAATGTCAAAAGTTGTTTTTATTGTTTTAAAATTTTAATAGAAAAACCAACAAATCTTATCTATACCTTGGATGCAGTAAGAGTGACTATGTAATACCCTCTATACTATAATACAGTAGTAATAACATTGCTGTAAATAACAATTTCCTATCTTTGAAAAGTGTGTAAAATAAGAACAAATTAAGAACATTTTGAGGCTGAAAGAAGTCAGCAAAAAAATAACACCACCGAGCCCTAGCAAAATTTTACTGCTTTAAAAAAAGGTGTATTCATGAAGTCTTTAGCAAAAGAAACCACCTTGAGGATGCATAAAAATAAAACATACAAAAAAAATCCAATTTAACATGTGACTTGTAGACTCTTGAAGCATACTGATCATAAACAAAGTAGACTGTTAATATTTATTATGCAGCATACGTACACGATGAGCATAAATTAATGTTGATTATTTTGTGGATTACTTATGACATTGTTATCAATTTTATGGTTGTCTTTAAAAAAAAAAAGGTATCAAACTGAAAAAATGGTAATACAAAAAACACAAAGCAGATTAACAAATTGTCTCAGAAATAAATGATTATATTTTCTTTGTAGTGTATTTTTGTGTTTTCATTTCAAAGTATGCATGTATGTATAGTTAAACTTGCCCAACTCGACTTTGCCTTACTCGAATAATTTGATCTTATTTTACATGCCAAACTGTTGTGTTTTCCATTAATTAACAATCTGTAAGTGGAATTCTATTTAAGTTGAACAATTTTTCAATGGCATTTTGAATTCGACTTAGACAAGTTCAACTGTATATGCATTACATAAAAAATGAAATCAGTACTGTTATTACTGATGATGTTTTGTACTTTTGTGAAAATGACACAAATGGATGACCCCCCTAATATTAATTATGTTTATTTTCAGGCTGCTGACAAAATTCAGATAGTTTCAGAAACATGTGCTTATCTCCTAGATGCCATTTCTTTCGTGCAGTCTAAAATGTAAGTGCTTTTTAAAAAAATTAACAAATAGATTTAAGATAAAATTATAATTGTATATTTTGGTTTAATGTAATAGCAACCGATACATTTGTGATGTATGTATGTATCCATTATATAAGAGTATAGCATTTGCTTTTAGTTGTGAGAAAACTATTAAGAGTTTTTCCAGGATTGAACCCAGATTTTGGGATTGGTAATGTAGATGAACACCAAGCCACAGTGGCACTCCACCATTGATTAGCAGTCCAAGTTTGGAAACCTTCAGATTTTTCCAATTAATTTTCTCCTGAAATGTAGTTGTATATTGACACTAGTAGGTAGCATTTATTTCTTAGAAATTGGGTCTTATTATAGATCATTTTGCTTGTTACAGGAATGCTGAAAGGCTGCCACATACCAACATCAAGTGCATGCTGGGGGCATCAGTTTGTACCTCAGGGCCATTGGACTCGCCGCTCCTGGACCTCTACCAACATTTCATACCAACCATCTTTCAAATATCAGGTAACAATTTTCTTAATTAAAAATTTTTCTTCCGACTTGGTTATATAAACATATCAAATATTAATAATTTTTGACTCGATGACATTGCTTCTAGGTATATATCATGGGTGCTAGGTACCTGGCCGCGTAGTGCTACCCTGGATTTGGTCATCTGACTTCACAACGCCAACAAAATATTTGTGTTCGAATCTACAATTGTGGATTTTTTAATTTATCATTTAAGAAAAAATATTTACTCCTACTGTATTACAGTTATTACTGTATTACTAAAGCCCTGGGAGATGATTGAGGAGCAATTCATATTCATTATATAGTTACGCATACTGTATTAGCCAGAGCTGATTATTCAATTCTATTTTTATGTTTATTAGCTTGTCTACAGAAATCTAGTGCTACACAATCTTGATGACTACTTGAGCAGATTTTGTATCTCTTAAAGTTTCCCATGGAATTTCCCTGTCTAGTACCAATTAACATTTCATTTCCATAGAAATCATGTTACAGATTAGAAATTACGTAGTATGGGAAAACACAAGAACACGTCAGCAAGGATGTTATTAAAATACTACTGCTAATACTATCATAACTCTAAAAGTACCTTAAAGGTAGTTATTCCAAGATATAGTTAATCAAATACATAGAATCAGTAGTGTTGTGGGGAGGGATATGGGTAAGGAGAGACAGATGAGAAAATTTAATTTCAAGCATATGTTTGCATTTTTATTTTTTTAAATTATAGTCTGGCCATACAATACAATTCAAATAATAATAATGCAAATGATATTTTTATACAAGGAAAAAGAAAATATTCGCTAAAAACAACTGGCACAGCCCATGAGAAACCAGTTAGCCAAAGCCAACTGTGAAGCTTTTCCAACCAATACATTCAAGGCAAAATAAACAGGAATATATGTTATGAAGTTTATTATGTTTATTATTGAATGCATGGTGTCCAACATTGGCTCTATATGCCTTGGAGCACCGGGCTCCAATATGAAAAAAAGTCATATATTGGACAACTATATTTGTTTAATTTAGACATCTAAATACTTAAAAAACTACAGATGCCTCTTTTGTTCTGCCACCCAACCTCGCCAAGACCCCTAAGCATTGCATACTTCGCCATTGAATCATATTGCTCTAGGGTCTAGAGCCTATCTTGCTGGGTGTAGGGTTATTTCTGACGGCCCTGCGTAGAATAATAATCATTTTAATAGGCCAATAAATGTTCAAAATTTAACTATCAATATATTTTTGAAATTAGTTTTTTTAGATTTTATTTTGTTTCTAATAACATTCAACAGCATGTAGTAGTCTGACACTTACAGAATGGAAAACAGGAGAGGAAGAGCAGCCTAGCTCAGTCGGCTAATCTGGTGCTAGCCTCTGTGTGTGTGCTGAACCGTGGAATTCTCTAGGTCCCCGATTCAATTCCCATCGCTGCTTCTCCTTGTGTTTCAGCTAGAGGGCTGAAATACAAGTTATATAGCGCACCGTCTTTCGGATGAGACATTTAAGCTGTTGGTCCCGTGTGCATTTATGGCCCATGTGCACGTTAAAGAACGCAATACACGCTTTGGAAAAGAGTAGGGGATTGTCTGCTGGTGTACTGCCCAATCACCACCACAAGGACCCCACTGGAAATAAGTCTTCTTCTAGATTTTTGTGGGCTATCCTTGGTGTTTACACTGAATAAATCCAATCCAATCCAACAAATAGATAAAATTAATTAATTTAACTTAAATATATTTGTATTATCTGCGATTAAAATCTGAATAATTTACAGTATTTGGTGATGTTGTTAATGTAAATTAAAGACAAATGGTAGACATAAGTTATACAAGATAAATTAATTAGAGAGGAAGGCTTCTGATTCGGGATTTTTCAAGTTTACAAATAAGGATGTTAGATTTATGGCATCAAAGGCTTTGATAAGGCAGTAAAAGTACCAACAACTGTTTCCTTGATGTTTCAGTTTTTTTGTCATTATCAAGTAATACAAGGCTCTGTAGAGTATTTTTTTCCAAAATCTATATTAATCTTTTTTAAAGAACATTACTTTTTTTAAATGAAAATTGCTGTAGTGTGAACAAATAGTACAAAATATTATATGAGATAGTGGAGTGGAAATACTGTAGTAGGTGTAAAAAATTTAATTACTTAGAATAACCATCTATACCATACCAATTGGTTTACATAATTCTTAATTTATTTAATTGTTCTTAATTCTGTAGGCACTTTCAGTATTATAGTAAGTTGTACAGTGAAGGGAAACATATATACAGTGTAACTTAAACACTGAATAAATTAATAAATAAAAATATATATATAATAAAATGAATATAAAATAAAATTTTAAAACAATGATAGAGGATTAGTTTTGTTCAACATATATTCAATGTATCTTAATGAAAGGTAAATGATAAAAAATATACATGCCATAATTTTACAAATAATACAGTTTGACCTTTCATATGAATTTTAGATGGCTGCAGATGATAAATGAGACTAGCATTATAGGTCAAGGCCATTTATCAAACTTTACAAAAATTCTACAAGATTGAAAGAGAATAATATTAACAGAGCATCATGATTCAAGATTCAAGATAATTTTATTGTCTGAAAACCCCAGAAATTAGGTTCCACTGGCATTGTTACAAGTGCTAACAATATATACAGTAATATATAAATCACTAATGTAAGTAATCATATACTCATATACAGTATAGTTATAGAATTTGTTTACTGCTTAGTACATCAATTATCCATTTAATTCTCTTAATCTTCAGCGAAGCAAACAGGCTCAGTCAACACAATTGAGAATTTCATAAAATTTAGCATATATTGAAAGCTGTTTTATCTAGCTTTTTGTAGTAAATAGTATAAATTATCCCTTTCTGATGATGACATAATTAATGTCGAAATATTGAATCCCAACACGATGGCGTGCATTTCAATACTTGGAGTATGTATTATACTTTATTATCTGAGATTAATCAGTGGACCTTTCGGTTATCCCTTTCTCATCTTTCTTTATGCAGCCTCCATTTTGTTTTTGACATTCACACACCAAAAAACAACACACCCAAAATTCCTGCAGATAGTGGAACATTCTCGTAAGCTATTTTGTCCCCAGTAATAAAAAAAAAATGTGAATTATATTTTAGTATTATAAAAAACACTCAAATCATGGTAGGCCAATATGGACAACACATGCATTTTAAATCAGTATATTCTGATATTGTTGATAATTTATTTATAAATAATTTTGATACCCTTTCATATAAAAATTATTTCTTTAAATAAATCTGACCAGATAAATCCACCATCTGGATATGACCCGCATACTGTACCCTCATATTGCCATTGACAGATGTTAGGTCAATCAAGAGCCACCAATGCAAGGAAACTGGTTAAATAATTTCCGTTAAAGAGCATCAAGTTTAAGAACTGCTATTAATCTCTGCAATATTTATATCCATCAAGAAAAATTCCTTTGGGCAGCAAATTTAAGAACTGCTATTAATCTCTGACAGTGTTTTATATCCTTTAAAAAAAAACCAAAACCAATTAACTTCTTTGAGAAAAAATATATTTGATTCTGATTCTGATAAAGCTCAGTACATCATGCACCAGTCTGGCGTATTGTTAAACAGTAATGCAACCAAGTTACTGTATTAAAACTGGCTTATGTTCTACATAATATATTATATTCAAACATTGTAGAACTAGTGTATGTGCTACAAAATAATTAAAGAGTATATTTACTGTATAAAAGAAAATTGACTTCTAGTATAAATTAATCCATGCAATAAAAACAGTACACATCAGTTATTAGAAAACAAATTATTAAAAAAAAAGACAAAAATTTGTGATTTTGATTTTTAATTTATCTGTCCCATGCTATAGAATATAAATACTGGGTGGAAAAAATGTGTTTGTCCGGAACATTGCGACTAAACAACAAAGTTTCGTTTCTCAACTAATTTGAGTGAATCTTTACTACCAAATACAAGAATTGCACCACATATCTGATGTAATTAAGGCATATTATTTTAACTTGGAGGCATAGACAGACTGATAACACGTAACCCCCTTAAGTCCCACGCTACGGGCCTGTTGTTACTTGTATAGTGGATAATAGCCCATTGGTGGCTATTGAATTAAAAAAGAAATATTTTTATGTAATTTGATTGACACCTATTGTTCAAAAGCTTAGTCTGGTTTATGCAACATCTTGCGGGATAACATTTTTCTATGTGAAAATGTTATATCTTTATTCTCTCGCAGGAATTGATTAAGGAATTTGATGGTAATGTAATTTGAAAATGTTACTAGCTTGGGACATGGATAATGTGACAGGCCTGGCCCATTCCGTTTAATCACATCATGTTGGCACCAAAAGTCATGCAGTATCACATTTAAGACCCTGGTTTGTGACATACTTTTTTGTGGATGTATACTGCCTGTCATTTACCCTGTATGCCCCCTAATCACCCCCCAAAAATCACTTGCAAGTAGTTAAATATCATCTAAAATCACCTTATTTTGTGAGTTAGTGGCCCAC